TATAGTTTTGAAATTTAGAATTTGGAAATAAAGGCGTTTTAATCAATTGCTTTCTACTAGTTAAAAAGTTAACTCTGCTTTCAAAAGTAATATCAATAAGAAAAGGACATTACAGAATAAAATTATAAGAGAAAATTAATAATGATGACTTGAACACCCCTTGGCACATAATTAATATTAGTGTAAACCATTTTAAATGAAACATATTGACTCAATAGTCTGTGTTTGGCAACACTGTGAATAGATTAGTTCAGTTAATAGCTGTTGGTACTTGAGAATAAGGCCGTCTGTTTAAACTTCTTCTAAACAATATTATTTTGACCAAGTCAAATAGACTTTTGCTGAATTTTAGTCTGTATTAAAAAACTTAAAATATATATATTGAAATTTGAAGCTGAATTTGTTAAAGGAAAATAATTGCTATTTTGTCATTGGAGACAGGATTCACAAAGATGCATTCGGTAATAATTCAAGCCTTTTAAGATTCTTTTCCTAGGAAATAGCAATAAGCAGACAAACTGCTCATCTGCATGAATATCTTTTGATTTAAAACTGGTATGATGCTCATTAAAATAATTGAAAGAATTACATACAATTAGTGAGCTAGTTATGCCTAAGAAGCAGACACTGGCTCTTCACTTACTTGGCATACTACTTAAATCCCAAACTTCGGCTATTTTTAAAAGATGGTATACTATATATGGAGAAAAATTAAATATTTAGAGATAACTAATCAGTAGAACTAAAACTGCATCCTTTAATACCCCAAGGACCAATAAGACACCAAAGTTCAAAGATATGGCTCAGAATACTGATTTTCTAAGAGCATCCGACTGCAGAAGAACAGATGGTCTGTGAACAATAAAGATTCTAAAGAAATACATGTTTCAGCATGACATATAAAGCATGTGGGCTGAAATGATAAGAAGCATATAGGAAAACTAATTAATCATTGTCACCAACAAAATAACACATAGAGAGGCTCAGGAGGTTTCTGGTAAGCCAAAAGTGGGCAACTTCATTTCTAACAACTGGATAACAATTGAGCACAGCGGATATTTGACACAGTTGTTTCCAACAATGTTTAAAAACTATAGGCTTCCATTATGGTTATACGACACTGCGCCTTTTACTTGTGTTTCTGTTCACATGTTCATTTCATCTGGGGCTAGTAAGTACCTATATTACAGAAATCAATGTGGTATAACCAAATGGAATGCAAATTTTAATCCTTTGGTAAGAAATACCATAGATGAAATCCACAAACTCATTATAGCAGACTGGTTAAATGCAGACTCTAGCACCAAACTGCCTGCCTGTGGTTAATCGTGGGTTACTTACTTAACTTTTCTCTCCTTCAGTCTCCTCATTTATTAAACAGAAGGTATTAATAAGACTTTATTATTCAGGTTGCTATGAAGACTGAACTGGTTAACGGTGATAAAGAGCTCAGAATAGTGCCTGCATGTCACAGGTACTACGTAAGTGTTAAATACATGAATAAGAAGGCTTTTTAAACCATCTGGTTTTCTGCCCTACAGTTAGGGAGATACCACACTCTCCGGGACTAAGAGAATAGACACAGGCTAAAAAACAATGCAGGTTATTTTAATAGTTTGTGTTATCTTCCTCCCCACTATGTCCTACCACCTGAACTAGATTACCTCTTAGTTTCTTCTAGTTAAAAGAAAAAGATCATTTATCTTATTGGAAACAAACAAAATTCCCTTTTCTGACACTCTGTTTAAAAAGAACAGCCTTTTTCTTTAACTTTATAAAATTAAGTTTGATTAGAAGCTTAGTTATCCTCCAGTAGATTACAGGTCCCAAGAAATCACTCAATCATTCTTACTTCAGCCTTCGCTTAGTCAAAGCAAAAGTTTAATTGTTGTTGACTAAGTGATGAATTTCTTTAAAAGAAATCAATCGTATGGATTATCGTTTCGAACTCCAGGAAGGTAAACGTTAAATCTCAATTAATATAAATTTCTACACCTAACATGCCCTTAAACCTCCCCTAGTGCAATTACAACTATTGGTTTTTTTAAAGAGACTTAAGCACTGAAATGGAATTGACATTTGGACCAGGGAGAAATGGAAGAAAACATGAAGATAGAAATCCAGGGGCAGGGGACAAAAGGCGTTCCCAGAATCTCTGCCCAGTTTCCTAAAGAAATGGGTTTAGTAGCTATGAACATCCTGCACAAAAAGTGCCAGGATCTGTGAACAAACTTAAATCTGTGAATAGCAGGTTGGTGATGTGTCAAAGTTCCTGGTGATGTGTCAAAAATTCCACCAGGGTAGAATTTTTTTTTTAATGCCATGAGGGAAAGGTTGCATGCATGTACTTATGTACTTGTCCTTCTGACAGTTTTTAACACAACAGTTAATCTTGAGTCCTAACTTTCTGGATCACTTAAGATAGAAATGCTGCCAAGGAAAATGCATACATTCATTTTGAAAATCATCACGAATTAAATGCACCTCCCTTTGAAATATGGACTGCAAATTTTTTCCCCCAATGGCATCATATGAGGGTCACAACTTGAAATATCTGGTAATGGATGTCGATAACAAACAATAATGGTTGCTACCTTGATTATGAAAGGAAGCATTAAAAGACCAATCTATTGCTCTACTCCTTCCAAATTAGCTATGAGTTTGTACCACCTAAAGCTCAGAAAATAGATTTCCTTTAGGAGAGGGATCCCTGGGCTTGGGGCAGCTGCTGCCATGTGAATGGTTCTGCCTTTGGGTGGCTTGGAATTGATGGTTAGGCTGAAAGTATACAGGAAATCATTATCAATAGTATAGAAGCCAAACTTGCACTTTTTATACACAAAAAATATTCTTTTTCATTACACTAACAGCAAATTTAACTCTGGTTTTCTACTAAACAACTTATTAGCCTAGTTAGAATAATGAATGAAGACAATATTTATTAGAAAAAAAGTTACTTTCATGACTTACAAACTCATGCCTACCTATATATTCTTTTTTTGATGAAGAGCTCAGCCTTTTGTTTCTCTGTCACTCCCTCAACACCCAGGGTCCTGTTCCTCACCCCAGGACTCAACACATGCTCATCTCAGGAATTGCCCTCCCTGCTTATCTCCTTGGCGCTTTAAACCAGATAAAGTCTACCCTCCTAACTTGGCTTGTCCTGAGAGTTGAATTCAAAGAGACCTGCATCTACTCCTGCCTCTTCAGGCATCATGGCAACATGAATGTTTTTACAATGGAAGTTGCCTCACAGGGGCTGTGCCTGCTGCAGGGCTGTCCCTTAAGTTCTGAGGGGGGTCTTCCAACTGCATTTTTAAAAATTATTCCTTTCCTCTACCCTCAACTCACTCACTTAAAAAACAAAAACAAAACAAGAAAAGAAAAACCTTTTTCTTCCTTTCACAAAACTAAACCAAATTAATAAAAAAAAAAAAACTTACTTCCAAACAAAGCTTACACATTTAAAACCAACGTTACCGTAGCTGAGTCGGTCTTTCATAACCATTTCCTCATTCCAAACCACATCATCTATAAACCCAATAAAATACATTTTACTAGCTTGTTTTTCCTTCACCCTTTTCCAATTTACACATGACCAAATAAATTAGGAAACGTGATATGCAGAATTAATTTCAAATTTTTAATTCAACTCTATTTCCTATTATTTATTTTCTTTTAGGACTAGTCTAAGAGCTTTCCAGAACAATTGTCCTATAACATAGTGTCCAACTTCTAATGCCTCAAAAGGCAAACAAACTCAAAATACTTATGAAATATAAATTTTATAATGAGCTGGACAACCAAGTTTTTAAAAACTTGACAATTTCCTCCACGCAGATTAAATATATGTGTAGTTTTATATAATTATATAGAAAATTGTTTCCCAGCTTTATTTAGTGATATGAGGATGTTGCTTGAAATCTTGGATTATACATTAGGCTTTCTTTGCTATTCTCCTTGTATAGGACAGGACTTTACATGGAGAACCCTCAAATATTTTATTCACAGACTTTAAAACATGGTAACAGTGGTTTATAAATAAGTAAACTTCTTAACACACTACATTCTCTCCTAAGCTAGGAAAGTAATATCGGCCATATCAGATCCTTGGTGTTCAAAGTTAAAACAAGTACTGTTTCTTAACAATGGTTTCATCTAAAAATTACTAAAATCACAAGCTAATGTAGAAACATTTGGACATACAAGTAACCAAAATTTAGTCTTACCACCACCACCTCAGATTATAAGGAATTATTAAAAAGCAAACATTTTGTAAAACATAAACATATTGAATACAGAGGATGATATAGACACAAACAATTGTTTCATGGTAAAGTGAGAAGTAGCTATGCTGATTAATATAAATTTTAAAATAATGAAATAGGATTCAGATATAATTTTTCTCAGACTGAAAAGGTATTAACGACCTACATACTCTAGTTATAGGGCCAGATGGATATGTTACGTGAAATTTAGAAAATGGATAAGGAATTAAGACCTACAGTTAGGTAAACACTATGGTGTGCATTCGATCTTCTAAAGCACATCAGATCAGGTTAACGAAACACAACCTCATTTAAACAGGAAGCCCAAATTTAAAGAGTTTGTCAAAAAATTGTGTAACAAAAGAAAACCGGTAAGACCAAGAAAGTCACCCTATATATATTTTTTATTTGAAAAAGTCTTTCTCCACATTTTTAATGGGTTACTTATAATTTTAACTGATGATATTTTCCTGTCACAAAAACCTTTAAGAGTTACCTAATCTATTTTTCCTAATTGGGAATTTTCCCACTAGGGATACCAGCCCTTACGGGTGCTAAAGCTTCAGCTTATTCACTTCATTAGTGGCCTCTTTAGGACTTTTCTGAAAGAATTCTCTGGGGGTGGGGAGAGTGTTTTATTTGGTCTGATTTCAAAAACTGAGATTTGTTTAAAAAAAGAAATGGCACAATCCAGTGAATAGGGTAACGGCGCCACCAGAGGATGTGTCTTACCATACAGGTATCCAGATCTTCCAAACGCTCTATCTCTGTTAGCTCCTCCACTGTGATGATGGAACGTTTAACTGGCTTCTCCTCAGTCAGCTCGATCTCTAAGGATTCTTGTTGAGGAAGGGTCTTGCCACGTCTGCTGAAATGGTCAGCCTAGAAGGTCAAGACGCATATGAGGAGAAATTAAAGCACAGAGACCAGAAGCGCTGGTTAGCTGGATTTCTGAAGACATCTTCCACAAGATGGCGCAGTGGAGCACAATGTTGACAAGTGATAAGGACAATTCTTAATATATGAACAGTACAGTAACTTACCTCTTTTATTATCTTTCTTTGGAATCAGAGTGTTTTAAGCAATAAATTATAAATCTCTTTTAGTAAATGAAGAGACAACTTAGTAGTGTTTTTATTGATTTTGATATTTCCTCTGAAGAAATTTCCTTCTATATCTAGTACTAAAAAGTATCTGAGAGCAATAAAACAATTCCAACTTTCATTATTTTTAAAGGAATGAAAGGAAGGAAATTATTAGCAAAATTTTAATTACTGCTAGCTTTCATTGTTTTCATATAATGAATACCATATTTGGTATGATTTCTTAATTTCCAGTGTTACACTTTAGGTAAACATAACAAATTAAATAAGAGGTAGAATAAACTTAGCTGAAATTAATAAACTTCAGTGCTGAGCTGATCTGACACCAGAAACTTTGATTTAATTCTGAAACACTGAAAACCAGTTGGTAAGTCTATGGAAACTTTGAGAACGTTTACAAACTTAAGTTAGTGAAAATGGTATCTGAAAGTCATTGAAAACAAGGTTTCATTTTGAAGATAGTATTTCCTTCATATGGGACTTAATCTCTTTCCTTACAATCTAAATCAGCAGTACTAATGTTAAAATGAAGTGCAAACCAAAAGTGCATTCAGCAAATTTTTTCTCAATTAAAAAAGTCAATACTTTCTGAGTAAATTCTTTAAGAAAAAACAAATGCAAAAAAGTGAAAAATTCAAACCTTCAGTGTAGTTCTCACATGAAGATTTCTGTTAGTATAATATGTAGTATTTGTGTCATAAGTAAGCATTTTAAGGCCATTCCTGGAGCTACGGGTTATCAATAAACTTTCTGAAAAAAAGCTTATTTTAAAAGGATGCTCTAGGCCAGGTGCAGTGGCTCGCACCTGTAATCCCAGCACTTTGAGAGGCTGAGGCAGGTGGATCACTTGAGGTCAGGAGATCAAGAAAGGATTTCACATGGTGAAACCTCATCTCTACTAAAAATACAAAAATTAGTCAGGTGTGGTGGCGCACACCTGTCATCCCAGCTACTCCGGAGGCTGAGGCAGGAGAATTGCTTGAACCTAGGGGCGGAGGTTGCAGTGAGCCAAGATCGTACCACTGCACTCCGGCCTGGGCGACAGAGCAAGACTCCCATCTCGAATGAATGAATGGATACTCTATTGCTTTTGTTTGTACTTATTTACAAAAAAGAAAAGGCTGAATTAGGAGCTCTAAACAATCATGTAGCTCTTTACTGTGCCAGGAAATAGAAAACAGTGTTTCCTACATTCAATGTGGTGATAAATTGGTTTTTTATATTTCCAATTTAGCACAAAACAATTTACTGTTAAAATACAATAAAAAGAAAAATCAGAAAAATAACATGTGTTTGGAGACTCTATCTTTTTTTGGTGCTATAACGAAAAAACACATTTTTTCATATGCACTGATATTGGAAGCTCAAGAAGTTTTTGGATGCTTCCTCTGGGGAATCATCCATTAGTGGGCCACCTCTGGTCCACAGGCAGCACTTGAATCGTGCTATTAGAGATGTCTGTCTTGTCTTTCAGATTTTAGAAGGCGGTCGTGCACATTTTTCTCAAATGAATTTTTCAAAAACATGCATTTTGTCTGCTTCATGTAGAAGCAGCTGTTGCTACTCCTCCCATTTTAGGATTCTCTAGTGTCAACCAATAATTCAATACCATGAAACTGGCATCTCCATCCCACACAGTTAAGAAAACATTAAAGAGTTATTTTTCTTGAAGGAAACATTGCTATAACTTTCCTGGGAGACTTCCACTGCATCATATTGAGACATAAGATATAACCAGTTATAAAAGCTTCATCTGTACTTCAGAGAACTTCCTCAAGTTTACGAAACATTGAGTTTCTGACACATTTTTTCGTATGCACTGATACTGGAAGTAAAGTCCCCTACCTAATCATGCTGCTATAAAGACACATGCACACGTATGTTTATTGCGGCACTATTCACAATAGCAAAGACTTGGAATCAACCCAAATGTCCATCAGTGACAGACTGGATTAAGAAAATGTGGCACATATACACCATGGAATACTATGCAGCTATAAAAAATGATGAGTTTGTGTCCTTTGTAGGGACATGGATGCAGCTGGAAACCATCATTCTCAGCAAACTATCGCAAGAACAGAAAACCAAACAGCGCATGTTCTCACTCATAGGTGGGAACTGAACAATGAGATCACTTGGACTCGGGAAGGGGAACATCACACACCGGGGCCTATCACGGGGAGGGGGGAGGGGGGAGGGATTGCATTGGGAGTTATACCTGATGTAAATGACAAGTTGATGGGTGCTGACGAGCTGATGGGTGCAGCACACCAACATGGCACAAGTATACATATGTAACAAACCTGCACGTTATGCACATGTACCCTAGAACTTAAAGTATTAAAAAAAAAAAAAAAACACAATCCAGTGCCATTTTCTAGAGACAGTGCCAGTCTCTAGATGAAGAAAATATATATTTTTTTACCTTGGTTATATCCAAGGCACCTGTTGGCCAGTCAGCAACTATCCATCACTAAATTATGCCCATTTTGTTCTTGCACTTTCTTTATTCAAATATTTTTATTTTCTACCATATTTTTAGAATAGTCCATTATCAGATAATCATATCAGCAACAAATGAGCAAAGATACATTAAAATGTTAATTTTAGACCTCAGTCTCAACATTTCTTCCCCAAACTTTTGACTTTCATTATAAATGAACAATAAGATTTCTGGATATAATCAGTTCTGCTTTCCCTTATCATTCTCTCTGGAGAAGTTCTAACATGCTCCAGAATGGCTAGAAGCAACATAGAAGAGAAAGGAGGAAAATCAAGATCACAAACCATAAAGATGTAATAGTGTGAAAGAAATCACATTCCCACACCGGAAGTCATCTTGCATCACAGCAGAGATGAAACAGGAGGTCCTGCTCAAGATGTGCACAGCACTCACCAGTTTATGATGGCAATGTGAGAGTGCATCCAGGATTTCGTCCACAATTCGATCAGACAGGAAGGAGGCCACTGTCAACTTTACTTCACTATGTGAAAATCAAAAGGACAGAGTATTATTTTAATTTGTGCAAGGGGGGAAAAATCATCCATCCTTGCTGCTATAGTGATAAGGTCAATTGTGATTCCATTTCTGTCTTTGAAAGTAGAATATAAGAATGTGTGAACAGGACTAAGGATTTCCAAAAATAAACCTTAAACACTGCCATAAACACACAAGTAATAGACTTTCTTTACCAATTTCAACCTGCCTCTGCAATTTCAAAACTCAAGATTTAATGGTAGAAATGAAAAACATCTGGAAAAAGACAAAGTTAATGGGAACCGTATGTACCATGTGGTGAGGAACAATTCATCCATTGACATAAAGGAAAACAAACCTGGGCTGGAGTAAATTAAGAAAGTCTAGCCTGGTTGTTAAGTCTTAGTTACTGCTTTAGTATGCATATCACTCACCCTTTTAAAAAACTTTTCACCAATCAAATGATACCATAACTGCGTCTGCTTTGACTGACCATCTTACTTTGAATATTTACAAAATCATCTACGCTTATCTTTTATGAAGACAGGTTACTGAAATTTGCAGTTCTGGTGCCTGTTGCCTGACCTCAGAAAGTTGTCTACACAGCAGAAAGTGGCTTGTTGTTTTTACTAATAAACAGACCCAGCCACAAAGAGTCTGTCAGATGGCTGGTATTTTTGTTTGCATTTTTGCAATTTGGTATTCCCAAGAATTCCACTTTTATGTGTGTTCTTGGTCTGAATATCTTAATGCACATATGTACAAATGTACATTAAGCACAATATATTTAAAGGTAAATATGTGAGAGAAATACATACCTATATTCCAACATTGTCTCATAAGCTAACGTTGAAAAGATATTCGTGTAACACGGAAAAAATCTTGCCAACCTAATGGCAATAATTTGCATGGAAATTTCTCTGCCTGGGGAGATTTTTGAATAGAAGTACTTTTTACTTACAGTAAAAATTATCTTAAGCTAAAGATAAAAAATACGTTTAATTTCTGCCCCTGAAACAAGGTATCACTAGCTATTTGCTTTATCTGATACTTTCCTGTTCCCCAGAGGTGTCTACTGATATAAGATTCACCCAGGTCTCATATTAAAAATACAGGTTACTGGTCCCACTCCAAACTCTCAGAGGGACCTGAAAATCTAATTTTAAGTACTTCCTCTGATTCGTTTTGGGCATGTTTAGAAATTATACTTCCTCATAAAACTATAGGTTCAATAGCTTCTCCTTCTCTCTGAAAGTGGGTAGGAGTGGTTTATCTATTTCAAATTGTAGCACCAAAAAAGATAGAATCTTAAAAATGCAATTATTTTTTAATATCTCAGGATCGTTCTATTATTTTGCTATTGGATACTATGCTTCCTTACTGGTTAAGCTTCCAGTCTGCAAAGCTTTTAGAGGAAAAGAGTCAACTTAACCTCCCCATGCAAACGTGCGTATTGTATGAATGTATACATACATGCATGTGTAGGTGTAAATATTTTCCTTCTATCAATGTTCAGTATAATGTATTATAAAAAGCCAAGTAAGGAGTTAAGGGACATAAAATTGATTCATTGATGTGTGTTCTATACTGCTGTTCAACTTTCAGAATCTGCCTGTTTTCAAAGGAAATGATCATATTTGACAGAATTTGATACTCAAATAAAGCTATCAGAATAGGATCTATTTGTGGCTGAAACCATTATTATGAAAGAATAGTAGCCAATATATTATTTTCTCCTTAATGTTTAGGCATCTCCAACCAAAAAAATTCTGAAACCACCAGTTATAAGAAAATGTAAGTAAGCACACCTAGTGAAGGGCTAGAGTTTATAAGGTCACTAATCTATGGGGTCCTATAAACCTTCTATAAGTCTTTTCTAAAATTTCTCAAGTCCTTCCAATTGCCTTACAATTCAGTTGAGTAGGATTTAGGTGCTTTAGTTAAACAAAACAAACAAACAAACAAACAAAAACAAGACCTGAGATTATTCAGTTATTGCAGAATTTCTAAATCCTCAAAGTTCTATAATCTGGATTTAAAGTCATCAGCCTTTGATATCTAGTTAACGACAATATAATTTGGGGCTTGTTTTGTTTTTGACTCATTCTTCTCATGGACTGTCACTTAGCTATATCATTGTGTGTTAGTACCACCCCCAGCTCTATAGACAGGAGCTATTATTTCTGCTACATCTAAATATCTTTATCAATATTCAAAAATGGTTAAAATGGAAAATTAAAAAATGTTTCTGAACTTAGTTTTTAGTCATCTGATTCCCCAACTAAGAAACATTATGAGAATTAGCTGAGCTGTAATGTAATATTGGTGATGGACCAAGAGTCTCTATGTAAAAATTCAGAAAAGTTTGCCAGTAATTACAGCTTCTAAATATTTATATCTTGTCATATTTTTCAAACTTTTTCAAACAGAAATCTAGGTAAACACTGCAAAGACACCATTAATACACACATAGTATTACGGACCCACCAAAATAACCCAGAAGGAAAACATGCTAAGGTCAAAGTGGGCCTCTGCCTATTTATAGGCTGTGCATTTGTTCACAGTTTATGGTGGTAAAAAGCAAACTGATCTCAATCTTCAAGCTAGTGACTTATAAAGGTGAAAGATAAACTTCAGAAACAGAAAACAGGGATTACAAACATGTACCCCCCTCTTAAATATAAAACCCTTAAACAGAGCAGATAATTCTATGTCCTTAAGTAATGCAGGCATTTACGTGATCATCTTATTTTGGAAATGTATAAAACCTATGCATTTATGCACAGTTATATTTATATACAGTTTCTGCCTATTAAACATGCCTAAACATATTATATATGGATACAGCCAACAATAACCCTCTTTACAGCTGCCTCAACTGCGTTTACAGAAATTGCAGCTCCTAGGTTTATTAACATTATAAACCTACCTAATTTTGTTAAGGATATCAATTCCAGACTGCTCCAACAGGACATTTTTAACAAAGGTACGTGGAATAGAAATCTTTTCGGTGCTGGCATGAATCAAGTCTTGTCGAATGTGGGCTTTTTTCATCACATTGGGACAAAGATTCTCAGCAGCATCAACCATGGACTCAAGCAACGCCTGCAATGCAGCACAAGTGAAGGGAAGAGATGATGACACTGCACCAGAGACGCCCGCCATAAAACTGAAAGGTGGTTAATATATGATACGGAGCCCTCAGAGAACAGGAGCACGACAGAGTCCCAGAGCACAACCAAGAATTCTGAGCTGCCCCGGGGTGACTTGTGACTGTTGGATGATCATTGATCTCTGGTAATCACTTTAAATCGACACTTGGCAGAACCAAGCAAGCTTCACGCTGGCATCTGAAGTGTTATGGTGTGTCAGCTGTATTTAACACAAAGCCATTAAGGAGAAGATTAAAAAATACAAACATCAAGCCTTTATACACACCCTTACCACAAGAAATTGTTTTCCCTGGTACTAGAAAATGAAGTCACAGGCAACCCTAGCAAATATATCATATTTGAATGCTTCTGAGATTCTACAAATCACAGAAACCCCAAATTAGGGTGAACCATTCAATTGCTCTATCAAAACAGCAGTAGCAGAAAAATCACAGAAACTACTGCCAATTTTACTCTTTTAAAAGAAAAGCTTTAGTGTTAGGTAAGATATTAATTATTATGACAACAATAAACAACATGAAAAATAACAGACAAAAACATCAACAGCACTTTATAGACAGCATTAATAATAACAGTTGAAAGACATTCATACAGCACTTTAGAGTTTGAAAAATGTTCTGCACATTTTATCCTTCCAACATCTGTGAAAATGGGAAGGGCAGTTATTCATGTGATCACCATTTTACAGTTGAAGAATGTGAGCTAAGGGAAGTTAAATGATTTGTCTGAGATGGGTGATACGGTTGGAAGGATATGGAAAGGGCATCAGCGTAGGTCAGATCTAAATTTGAAATCTAGCTGAGTGACATTGGACAAAGTTACTAAGTTACTAAGTGGTGCAGTGGTGGCGTGATCTCGGCTCACTGCAACCTACACCTCCCGGGTTCAAGCGATTCTTCTGCCTCAGCCTCCTGAGTAGCTGGGATTACAAGCACCTGCCACCACATCCGGCTAATTTTTTTGTATTTTTTTTTTAGTAGAGATGGGGTTTTGCCATATTGGCTAGGCTGGTCTCGAACTCCTGACCTCAGGTGATCCACCTGCCTCAGCTTCCCAAAGTGCTGGGAGTACAAACATGAGCCACCATACCAGGCTCTCTGTTACTATTTTAAATGGTGACTATTTTTAATGACATTTTCTAACTAGTTGTTGCTGACATATAGAAACACAATTATATTTGTATTTATTTATTTATTTATTTATGTATTTATTTATTTATTTGAGACAGGATCTCATTCTGCCACCCAGATTTGTATGTGTGCGGTGGTGCAATCATAGCTCACTCCCACCTTGCTGGGACTACAGGCACGGGCCACCATGTCCAGCTAATTTTTAAAATTTTTGTAGAGATGAGGTCTCACTGTGTTGCCCAGGCTGGCCTCAAACTCCTGGCTCAAGTGATCTTCCAGCCTCAGCCTCCCAAAGTGCTGGGATTACAGGTGTGAGCCACCGTGCCTGGCATCATTTTTTACATATTGTTCTACATCTAGAAACCTCACACAAATTCAATAACTTACCTGCAGATTCTTTTGGGTTTTCTATGTAGGACATCATAAAATCTGCAAATTCTGATAATTTTTCTACCTTTTTAATTCTTACATTTCTCATTTCTTTTGCTTATCATATTGCACTGGCTAAGACCTTCAGTATAAAGCTGAATAGAAGTGATGAAATAAACATCTTTGCCTTATTCCTGACTTTAAAGGAAGTATTTCCCCCATTAAAAAAAAAAAAAATCTAGACCTAGCAAAAATTGGAAAAAATAGGACGAAAAACATCTATTACCCTAACTCTTAAAATTCACCAGTTGCTAATAATTTGCAATATTTGTTTCTCCCTCCCTCTGAAACACCTGAAAGCATGTAGGCATCATGACCCTCCCTACTAACCTTTTAAGTTATCCATTAATAGCTCATTAGTTTTCAGCCTCTCCTCACTTCCAATATTGGTACTTAAAATTATGTATTTCACCCTAAGTACTGGTTTAGTTGCCTCCTACAGGTTCTCATATTACTATTTATATTACTGTTCAATTCCTTATATCCTCTGATTTAAATTATGTCCTCCTCTTTGACCCATGAGTTAGAAGTAATTTTTAAATTTATAAACATGTGGGGTCTTTTTTTTTAGCTATCTTTTGTTATTAATTTCTAACTTATTTGAATTGAGACGAGAAAATATGGTCTCTGAAATTGTGCAGATGACCTTAATGACTTCATGGGCATTTTTCATAAATATTCTACGGACACCTGAAAAAAATTTCACATTCTCCTTTTGTTGTGCACTGATTGAATAGTTGCATTAGATTGCAATTGAGATTTCTGTTGTTCAAATCTTCGTCATCGTTTTACTTGATCTATCAGTTATGGGCAGTTATTTTAAAAGATCTCTACCACAATGGCAAATTCGTCCATTTTTCTTTGCAATTTTGTCCACTTATTCATTTATTTATATACGAAGCCATATGATTAGATGCTTACACACTTCAAATTGTTACATATTTCTGGAAAACTGGACCATTTGTCATTATTCACGGACCTGTTTCTCTCTGGTGATATGGCCATTTGGGTGGGATCAATTCTTCTGGCTTGGAACTCAACCTTGTATGATCTTTAGGATCACTGTCACCTGCCCATGTCAGTCACTATGACACCAAAAATAACCCAATATTTCCTAATGCTCTTCTAGAAATGCAGCATAACTTCTAGTTTAGTGCCTCTGTTTTAGTGATTATACTAGGAATTTTAACATGCGTATTTTACTTCATGTGTAAAGCAACACAGTCCAATAGAACTTTGAGATGATAGGAATATCTGTGCTGTCCAATAAGGGAGGCAACAGCCACATGTGGCTACTGAGCTCTTGAAATGTACATAGTGCAACTGAGAAACTGAATTTTAAATTTTGTTTAATTGTAATTTTAATGGCTACATGTGGTTAATGCGTTAACACATTGGACAATGCAGTTCTAATGCTGAATTCTTAACACTTCTCCAGAATAAAACTAAGACCTTGGATTGCTTTAACTGACTTTCTACTAACTTATACACTCACTTTCAGTATTTGCTTTTTAAAATTTTACAGCACGTTAGACATTAATGTCATTGTTTCATGTAATGTTACCATTTCCTCATATTTGGACCTTCCCGGCTCATTAGTCTTTCACAATTGTAGCTCAGACTACATTTTTAGATAATTTTTCTTTGTCCTAAAGTATATCCTTTAGTGTTTGGTGTGTGTGTGTGTGTGTGTGTGTGTGTGTGAGAGTGTGTGTGTGTGTGTGTGTGTGTAGCCCAGTGACAGTAAATGATCTCAGTTTTTGAAGTGATGAAAATGCTTTCACCTTCATTTGTAAAAACCAGGTCCATTGAGTATATAATTCTAGATTGCTATGTTATGTACTCTCTAAAGTTTAAAGATACTATTTCATTGTCTTCTAGATTCCATTAACTATTGAGAAGTGAGCTGTCAGTCTTAATACTGGTCTTTTTTTAAGTAATAAAAAAAGAGCCTCTCCCTGCCTGCCCCCAACCACCAACTCTGGCCTCCTTTCAAGATCTTTATCTTCAGCGCTCTTCACTTTTTATTACAACGATTCTAGATGTAAGTTTGCTTTTATCTATCCTGCTTTAGGTTTCACTGCGCTTCCTGCATCAGAAGATGCTGGTCTTTAATCCATCTCTGAAATTCTCAGCTGTCATCTCTTCAAATGTCGCCTTCCCCTAGTCTCTGTTTTCTTTTCTGGGGGGAAATCTAAATTAGGCTTATGTTAAATTTCTCATTCTATCCATATTTCCTAACTTTTTTTATATAGCCTTCATTTTGTTAGTCTCCCTGTTTTAGTACCTTCAGACAACTTGCAGTAAACAGGCCCTGTTTTTGAAATACGATAATCCAATTTTGTTTTGATGTATCTCTAATGACAGTTATGAGGGTCTATATTTCTTAACTGAAAAAATAACTAATGGTACTTAGGAAACCTGTTTAATATTTGTAAAATAAATTGGATTAATAACCTTAACATGGCAGCTATGCTCTTATATTCTTGCAGTGAGCCAATGACTTGTAATTCATTACCAGCAAATACAACTTCCATAGTAAAATGCCCTGAAATCTTCCTTTCTTTTGCTTTGGAAAATATAAAGTTTAGAAAGAAGAAAACTCAGAGAACTCTTCTGGCTAAACTGAGTTAATAGTTGACAAAATGCCACCTAAATCCCTCAGGCCTCATATCCTAAGTAAAGCTGAAATTTACCAGTCAAGTATTTTACCATTTAAGCCCTGAACGAAATTAAGAATTTCCTAGGCCAACACAAATACCCTAGACTTTAAGTCCAGAAGGGAGAAATGAATGTTTCCTTATGTTAAAACATTCGATTCCCCTTTGTTCATCTACTACTACTCCAGGAATGAACGTTAGGATCAAAACAGGGAAAACAGGGGACTGTTGTCATTCTGAAATACCTAAAACAGGCCAGTTTAGAGTAAACATCATCGCCTTCAAAGAAGGAATTTCTCCAGACTTACTGCTTTATTCTCCTCCAGGAAGTATACTAAGGCGGCTGGCTTATCTGGCCATTTATTTTGCTTTCTGAAATAATACTTTGGAAAGATGGCTTAAAGAGTTATTTGAACTTATTCTCATTCAATGTTCAAAATGTCTATGACTGGCCATGGTACAGGATGATCAAATATTAGAGCTGGAATAAATCCCCCTGATTATCATGAGGCCAAGATAATCTTGCAGAAGGAAACGTGGTCCAAAAAAGTTAGGCAACTTGTTTAGAGCACACAGCAGGAAACCCAGGACACAAATCTAGGCCTGCTGGCTTCCTTTTTTTAATCTACCACTTCCTATAATAAAAACTATTTTTACAAAATAACTTTTAAACAAGATAATCCATTGACTTTAGCTCTTGTGAGTTTAATATGTTAATTTTAGAGAATGTGGGAAATAGAAAAAGGAAACTTTTTAACTAGGAAAATTTGATAGTAGTAGTGAATTCAATAAGAGACACAATAGTTTAAAACTGAACACTGGTTATATTAAAAATACACTTTGCCTACATAATTTTAAGAAAATCAATGCATTAGAAGTTTATATAAATAGATAAATGGTATTTTTTAAAAAATAGTAAAAGGTTGTCCATTTGTCATGTAAACTGGAAGGAAATACAAGGAAGTCCATTAGAAGTATCAAAACTGAAACGTGCACCCAGTTAAAAGAACATTTTAAAATACATTTAATTAAGATGTTTTGGTTGAGGATTTTCTCTGCTTCATTCCAGACATCCCCAAAGGAGAAGAAACTTGAAACTCAGAAGGACGGAAAATAATAAAAACAAGTAAGTAAGGAACAGGAAAAGGTGGGGAAAAGGCCATTTGGAGGCCCGGGACCTTCGAAATAGTGAGAATGAGAGAAAAGCATGCTACGATATTTGCAAACAAGGAGGCGATGATGAATGGAGAACAATGGGGATGTTTAAAGAGGGGTCAGAGAAATTAGCCTGAAAAAAAAGTAGGAAATGCCTATTTACAGAAAATATTTTGAACCCTAAATATATTTATATTATTTTAGGCTTTTAAAAATACATATAGTTATACTTCGGATATTCTCCTTCTGCTCCCTCCTAAGAAAGAGACTGGCAAGAATCCATTTCAACAATTCCATGCAATGAGAAGAAAATGAACACCAAAGATATAAGGGGTGGTTTGTCGTTTAGACCAGTTGAAATGACAATTTTGAAGCTGTTTGACAGGAAAGGTCCTGTTACAAATGCTTCATGCCCATTTAAATTCTAGCCAATTTTCAGTATGGAATAAGTTCTTACAAATGAAACAAATTAGGCAATAGATATGAATACATAATTTACAGAAGAAGAAATACAAAGGGGGGATGAAATTACTTGATGCATCACTGAGTTATTGAAGAAATCCAGAAAACACAATGAGGTCGGGAGCGGTGGCTCATGCCTATAATCCCAGCACTTTGGGAGGCAGAGGCAGGCAGATCACTTGAGCTGATGTCAGGAGTTTGAGACCAGTCTGGCTAATATGGTGAAACCCCGTCTCTACTAAAAATACAAAAATTAGCCGGGCGTGGTGGCCGACACCTGTAGTCCCAGCTACTTGGGAGGCTGACACGGGAGAATAGCTTGAACCCAGGAGGCAGAGGTTACAGTGAGCTGAGATCATGCCACTGCACTCCAGCCTGGGTGACAGAGCTAGACACCATCTCAAAAAACAAACAAAAAGACACAATGAAAAAATTTTTTTCCCCATTACATTGAAAAATATTAAAAGGTTGATAAACTTGGCATTGTTAAAGATGTGGCAAAATCAGCAATTGCCTGCACTAGTGAATAGCAGTGTGTGAATACATATGAAAGTATAATACTATTTGACATAACAATGGGTCAGTTATAGACATTTACCCTAACTAAATTAATCAGAAATTATAAAATAAATTATGCTGGTACATCTATGCAATGGAATACCACATAGCCATTAAAAATGATTATTCATCAACCTATAATTGTATTCATGACATTGTACCAAATAGAATAAGGTTACCAATCAGTATGTATAGTATGATCACTTATATAAAAAACTGTTTATATAGGCACAGAATGTCTAGAAATTCACTAAGATATTAACAGAGATACTACCTCTGGGATCTCAGGGAATTTTTTCACTTTCTTTTATTCCCTACATGTTAGTATTGGTTAAACATTTCACAAAGAGTAAGTCAGTTTTTACAGTTAAAAATAAACAACAAAGTCAATTTTGTTTTAAATATGTTATCCTTCATGGAGGATAAAAGAAGTGCTATTAATTAATAAATGGTCTAGCAGAACTCTACCATCCACTCCTTTTTCTGCCCATTTGTCCCTGCTCAGGATGGATTAAAAACAACCATGATTAAATAAAATAAAAATGACACACAGAGTCTCTCTGTATCATATGCACAGGAAGACAGGGGATTAAACTCCTTAAAAAGAAAACCTCACATTTTCTCCTTCATTAACTTAATTTTCAAAGAGAGTAATTAACATGCTGCAAAGTTATTACTGATTTGTACTTCAAATCCCTATATGCTGTAGTAATTGTGTTCTCAGAAGAAAACCAGCCAAATACTTACACAAATTCGGACACAGTTTTTACAAGCTGCCTTGATAGGCAGATTGGAAGTGATGAAAACTTTCTGAACGTGAAATTTATCTAGTGTAGGTGTTTCTTGAAGTTACTTTAAGCAAAAGCTGGTCTTAGATTAGTCTATTCCCCTAAAATTTCAATAACTTCTTTTTTTTTTTTACCTTTTTTTCACCTTTTTTTCAGTGAATCTATAGGCAGGTCTCTGCAACTTTGAGTACCTTGTAATTACATTTAAATACCTTTCCTAGTCTTTCAACCAGCTCCTTACAAGATTATCTATTCACCCAGCGGCAGACTCCCCACATAAGCACTATCTAGGTAATGTAAATGTACTTACCATCATTTTTCCCATTCTCTAAATCAGATGTTAATAACAGAAGGTATTTTTTCCTGAAACACACTTCTCTTTCTACTCCCTTAATAGAAATCAATCATTCCTTTATCAGTGGCAACCCATAATTTATTAGGTACATTTAGAGGTTTACCATCAAAAATGATTATGTAAGAAGTCTTTCCAAAACTTATAATGAAGCTGCAAAAGACACAGTGTTCAATTTTTACTACAAGTACATCTTTGCAGCATGCACACATACAAATCTATAAAACACAGATAGCTGTGGAATAAAATGCTATCACACATAGTTAAATCTTAACAATTTCATTTCCCAAATAACATATCCCACAAACCTTTAGTTGTTCATCTACTACTCTTGTAACTTCTCCAGCCATTGATTCCAGGGTCTCCTGAATTGGACTGGATAACAAGCCACTGGCTCCCGCCCAAGATGCACCACCAACATGGTATAAATTTGGTAACAACTGTAAGAGAAATAAAAAAAAACCTCTTTATAACTGAGTAAATATTTCAATCAAAGCCATTGCAGAGTGAATGAGAAGGGTGAAGACATACTGTTAGGCATGATCTCTTCTCAGTCAAAGGCTCTTTGCACGGATTAATAAACTGATATCCAGACTATGGGCATTCATTTTTATTCAATGAATCATGGCAACCCTAAGAAACACTAGACTGGGTATTAGGAGACTTTCACATTGACCACTTCTGTCATTAAGCAGCTTTGAAACCACAGGAATAACACATTACCCCCTCATGTCTTTTTTTTTTTCTTTTAGAGATGGAGTTTTGCTTTTGTTTCCCAGGCTGGAGTGCAATGGCACGATCTCGGCTCACTGCAACTTCTGCCTCCCGCCTTCAAGCAATTCTCCTGTCTCAGCCTCCCGAGTACCTGGGATTATAGGCACATACCGCTGCGCCCAGCCCCGCTTCATGTCTTAATTTCTTCATCTGGGGTATGAAAGCTGACCTGCTTTTACTTACAACACTTCTGTCACCAAAAGTGTAGGTGTTTGCCACACCGGACAAGTCTCCAGTTCTCTGCATACACTAAATGGGTGTCCTACAAATCTATTCAATTCAATTCTGACACTGTCTACCCAGAGTTTGCCTCGGATCCCAAAAGTGAAGGACTCAGTCTCACCAGACTATCCCCAATTCAGATGGCAGTCACAGGTCCCAGGTTGTTACTGGTACTTCTAACAAGTCTTAAATTCAAGGGGCTCCCATAAATCCTTTCTCAGGTTCCGTAATTTGCTAAAATGACCTACAGAACTCAGCCAAGCATTTTACTTATGATTACTGGTTTATTATGAAAGATACAGCTCAGGAGTAGCCAAACAGAAGATGTATAGGGTGAAGTACAGAGCTGGGGGAGCTTCGGGGGCACTCTCCAGGTATACAGCCCTCCCAGCATGTTGATGAGTACATCAACCCAAAAGTTATCTGAAGACTACTGTTTAGACATTTTATGGAGGACCCATTACATAGACATGACTGATTAAATCATTGGCCATTGGTGTCCATTCAATCACCAGCCCCTCTCCATTTCCAAGGATTCCAGGGGGTGGAGCTGACAGATTCAGTTCACTAATAACATGGCTGGTTCCTCTGGCAACCTTCCCTATCCTGCAACTTTCTAGGGGCACAGGAAGAGTCACCTCATTAGGATAAACTCTGGTGTGATGAGAGGGGCTTTTCATTAATAATAAAGATGCTATTATCATCTCTGTCACTCAGGAAATTACAGGGGTTTTAGAAGCTCTGTGCCAGGAACCAGGGACAAAGACCAAATATTATAACAAAAGATGCTCCTATCATCCCTATCACTCAGGAAATTACAAGGGTTTTAGAAGCTTCATATCAGGAACTGGGAACAAAGACCAAATATACATTTCTTATTGTATCACGAGAGTATCTGATTGATCTACAGATTCCTCATACTCATGACATTCAGTGATTGTGTGATTCTAACAGCAGAACCAAAACCAGATCTCAGTTTTTCCGACTCACAGTTAAGTCCTTGCTCTACTAAGTCACACACTGGGAACCAAAGTCTAATGTGAAAGCAACTTCCTTTTAGAGGCAACAGCGGGGAGTTTCATGTTATCAGCTTAGAAGCAGAATCATTTTAAATGAGCTGTTACTCATTTAAACTACAGCTCCCTTTCAGTTGTTGAGGGCCCAATCACACCCTCTGGAAATCACACTGGCCCTCTGCTTTTTATTCTATATCTTGATTATTGGTAATCAGCACAGGTACAGAAAGGAGGTCAAGGCTAATTCAGCTCACTTTGCCACTTGTTAGTAAACTTGGAATTGGGTAGAGAGAGAAAGAAAGTTGAAACTGGTTTCTAAAACTAAATTTTATTAAACGCTTTTATTACAACAGACTCTCACACAGCCTGAAGTGAAACTCACCGTTTTAGAGTTCTTAGCATCACGCATGAGCCGCTCTGCTGATTTTAAATCTTCCTGGATAGCATCTCCCCCACAATTTCGTAAGGAGTTGAGATGATCTTGTACTTTCACACATATTCTGTCAATCATCTGCTCCAAACCAGAAAAAGGCAAGCATCCAAGTCAGCCACGCCGATATTCAGATAGAAGGAAACACAGAATGAAGGAGTATGAAAACAACTTCAGCAAACCACAGAATGCATGAGGATGAAAACCTCAAACCCTTCTAACTGGAATCGTTGAGAATGCTGCTTATAAGCAATTATTAATTAACTTTATTCATGCAAGTAACCTTTGGCAACTTTAACGCCAGAAAAACATTGAAGGCATTTCAGTTCCCTTTCCTGCCTTAGGGAATGCAGCACCTAGAACAAAAGTGAACACTTCTTGATGATTCAGAAGCTCACTTGGTGACATTCTGCTAGATACTAACTCCTTCATTAACTTTCAGTGAGCACCCTCTATGTGTTAGACATAGAGTTAGGTACTGAGGAAATAGAGAAATAAAATGTGCAACACTGAGACTGCTGCGATGACTACAAAATGATGCCCGACAGTCAGTTGGTCTCAATACTATAGAAACCAGAGTATCTCTTAAAAATCGGTATTTTTAAAATTGATTCAATTACATCAAGTATTTTTCTTTGTAAACTAAGAGCTACCAAAAAACAAAAACAAATTGAGGTTTTATTAAACTGACATAGGTAATAATAAAGTTAATATCATCTAATTTACAGTAAGATGCCTCCCCTGCCAGGTTAATTGCACCTGAATCATTCTCAACTGTTTTACGGATATAAATACAAAACCCAATGGGAGATGGTGGATCCCTATGGTAGACAAAAAATATTACAAAAGGTAAGATTATGCTCTTCTATACTTATACAAAAAAGCATGAAGGAAGCCAAGAAGTCTGAAGAAAAAGATAACCACAGTGTGGTTTTAAAAGTGTCTCCAATATTTTCGTCAGAGCTGCCGGTTGTCTATTTATTTCATGTTCTTAAAAAAATTATTCATGCTTCAAAGACCTTACATGTCAAGAGTCCCCTTCCATCTGATAATTCATTTGGCAGAGGAGACAAACAATATTCTTTTTTTAGTTAACTTTGCACTTCTCTATTTTGAATTATTTGATATCATAACTATAGGAAACTAAAGTCTGCCCTTCTTCCTCCATAAATTTCAAAATGATAAAGAGACTTTTACACACTATTCCGAAGACTTCAAGTCTGATTACAAAGCCCATGTTTACTTGCTGCAGCACTGCCATCTCTCTTGCCTTTTTCTTTGTAAAGTCACGTTCATAATATCTACCGCACCTTCTTTACTAGTGTGTTATGAAGACAATTCAGTAAAATAACACCACTCAAAGCACCTATTACTGATAAAGGGCCAGTAATGCCAAAGTTCATGTATAATAAAAACAGCTCCTATTGCTGTAAAATATATTGAGGTTACATAAGTTAGTATCTTGAGATCCCCATAAGAAAAAGAAGTTATATGAATATTGCTTCTCACATCAAATTCTCTGCCTAAAATCCCTAAAATTTAAGATAAGAAAGTTATGATTCCTGCCTATGATTGTAGGCAGAAATCATATCTTTCTGCATTTACACAATGCCCTGAATAGAGCTAACTTTAAGTTTTTAAAAATCTTAATTGATAGAAATCATAACTCTTCTAACTATTGTATTGATCTGTGCTTCCCGAAGCAAAAAGGGTCATCAATAATTCATATTTTACAAAGAATGACTGCCCAATTTCAAGAGACAAATAAGCCACACACTAAGAAAGAAATTGATATACATTTGGGGCCACAATAGGCTAATTTGAGAGGCATGTGGATGAGGTACTATAAAGCTGATATCTTTAATCACCAAGAGAGACCAAAGAGATGCTTGAAATGTATGCATTCACCAAAGAGAGAGGGTTTACAGGAACTTAACAAAAACGGTCTTTAAGTAGAACATTTTAAAATGTCATCCAAAAGAAAAATCAAAATTAAGTTCTTCAATTCAAAGGAGACATAAAAATCTCACGTCTCCAAGATTCTTCTGAGCATAGCTCAACAGACCACATGTAGATCCTTTACCATGAAAGAGCTCAAAGCTCAGAAAAGGTAAACTATTTAAGATGACATACAATGATTACACAGAGTACAAATTGAAAATTTTGAAAAAAGTAAATCAAGGGGTTTATCAGTTCATAATTCATCTCTCAAGTACATAAATATGAAAAATAAACGAGATGCAATCTGAAAGGCTATAATCTCTTGGGTTACTCTGTTAGAAGACCTCATAGAAGACGGTTGTGTTAGGGCTGTTTAGTTTAACCTCTCTACTTCACCCTAACCCTATAGTGTTCAGTTTCTCTAAAGCTACACAGAAAAGTTGTTGACTGCCATAGTTTACGAAGTTCAATTCCTTCCAAGAAAATGTACCCTGTCATTCCCAGACATGGTTTTGAGTCTCAATCTGTCTTCTTACATCCATCCTGCAGTTCCCATATCTTCCCCGTGTGAACACCCTGCATAATCATATGATCTCTTCCAGTGACAGTCTTGCACATATTTAAATACACCCATCTTTTCGTCCTTAGCGTTCTTTTCTTCAGGTTTAACATTCCCAGCTCCTTTCCCATGCCTACACTGACACAGTTCTGCAGCCCTTGACCTCCTTTCCTGTAAGTCACTTCTGCATTCTGTCTTCCACCTAGAACCTCATGAAGTATGCCCCCCTCAGTGAAATGGATTGTAACATAAGAGTGGACTGGTAAGCACAGAGCTGAGCTTCCTTACTGTAGAAAGTATACCTTCATTAATACAGTACAAGTGAAATTGGTTTCTTTGGCAACTATGTCACAACACTAACTCATATCACACTTGCTGGTGACTACCTAGGCTTTTTCAAATATACTAGGCTATTGAACCCACGTGTAAGTATTACAACTATTAGCAATAAATGTCATCTGTTGTTGCTCACAAGTTGATACAACTGATCTTACTTCCAGCAAACAGCTTATTCATAGAAAATTTTATCACTCTCCACATCTGTTTCTTTATTCCATTCAATAGAAATAAACTGAACACCTGGCATAGAGGAGATATAGTGTTGAAAAACGTTACCCCTTGCCATCAGCAACTTAAAAACCTAGAAGTGGGAAGAAATATTGACAATTAATAGTAACGTAAGACACAAAGTGCTACATAATATAATATCCACAAGGACATGAACATTTTATTTTCTTCACTGCTGAATTCCTATTTCTTAAGATAGTGCCTGCCATATCATAGACCTTTACAACTGTTTATTCAATGATAAATGAATGATATAAGCTTTTAAAAAATTTTAGCCAAAGGAGGAATCACACCTAGGTGAGGTTAAAAATAACTTTTATTTATTTATTTTTTTAGCTGAGTCCTGAAAGATTTGTACAGATTGAGAAAACAGAAGGGATTGTTAAGCAAAAGAATGAACCCAAGCAGTGGTACATCCAGACACTATGACTCCTATCTCCTGGTTAGGAATAGAGGCACCTTATAGTGGGAGATCAGATTGGAATGATGGGTTAAGGTAGGATATTATAGCACTCCAGTGCAGGCTAAGAGGTTGAACATGGTGTCCAAGGCACAGAGTGCCACTTCCCCAGCTCTCCCCCACAATTGTGAACTCTAGAAATCCCTTACCATAAAAACATTCATGGTGGCTCAGCTTCCCTGATACAAAGGGCATGGGGCTGTGGAAAGCAGGAAGAGACACGGAAGATGAAAAAACTAGTTCTTGCAGTTCTTGTTAAAAAAAAAAAAAAAAGACGTAGAAGGTAGTTAGTAAAAAGACCTTAGCAAGAGGGCTGGTAGTATAAATAAAAACAAAAGAAGTATCTTTTGCAGCCACTGGACAGTATATAATGGGTAATGGATGGGGAAAGCAAATGAAGAGTTCAAGATGATTCCAAAGGTTCAACTCTCAGTGAATGATGATTTTCCTGAGTGAAATGGCAAAATCAAGAGTTCAAAAGGATGAGTTTGGTCTTAATGACTGGTATCTCAGAATGCCAAAGGAGTGGAGATGCTGAAAAAAATAAGTGGCAAGATAGGGCTCTCTGGAAAGAAACAGGGACTGAATGGTTAGATCCAGGAGTCATCTACAGATGAGAGAGTTAAAACAGAAGTAAACAGCCAAAGGAAAAGAACACTAAATACAAAGCTTTGAAAAAAAATCCTGCATTGGGGATATGAAAAGAGAAAGAGTTGTGTAGAAAGCAGAAGGTAAGACACAAGAGTGGTAGAACATTCAGAATGGCACATTGTCCAATGAACTAAGAATTGAGTTTTAAGAAAGATGAGATGGTCCATAATAATGATGGTAACCGTAATAATAAAAATAACAGCCCAAAAAAACCATTAATGTTTACTGGTAAGAAGCCAAATACTTTTCAAGCATTATCTCAGTTACTCTTTATAGCACCTTCATAGATGGGTACTATCATCATCCCCAATAAACAGATGAAAAAACTGAGGCTTAAAGAGGTTAGTAAGTGACTAACTTAAGTTCGTACAGATAGGGAATAGCAGAGCCTGGATTTACGTCTGGGTCATCTGACTTGAGAGCCCAGATTCTTAACCATAATATTCTGCCTCCTTTTATCAAGAGACGAAGAAGGAGAAAAGGCCCCGGTACTTTGTGACAAAGAAACCAATGAAAGAGCCATTTCAGTAGATAAAGAGGGACAGAGGCCATTTTTCAAAAGGTTGCAAAGTGAGTGTTTAACAAAGTTAGGACTGCAAATGTAAAGATGTGCACATGAAAGAGGAAAGAGAATATACCAAGCAAATAGCTGTAAGCAGTAAAGCCCCCTCCCCCGCCTCCTCTTTCTTTCTCTCCTTCTTTCCCCCTCTTTCTTTCTCTCTATCTCTCTCTTTCTTTCTTGGTAAGAAGGCTAAATAGAAGAGCGTGGCAAGTGGCAGGCAATTCTGGGCCTGTTTTTATAACTACGGTTTTATTGTAACACTCATTCATTTACATATTGTCTGTGGTGGCTTTCACCGTACCACAGCAGAGTTGAGTAGCTGCAACAGAGATCCTATGGGCTCCAAAACTAGTAAAATATTTACTGTATGGCTTTTTACAGAAAAAGTTTGCTGAGTCCTAATTAAGAGGCTTTATCATCTGGAAAAGAAGGTATCAAAAACGAAGGTAGAATGTTGAGTCTTACAAAAATATTTCCTAATCAAAGTCACCAGACAAAAACAAATACAAGCAGTTATGAGACTTCAATATTTCATTAAAACATTCTTTAATGCCTTTGATGTCACCTGAGAATGATGACTGAGAATGATGGCTATTAAGTTGGCAGGGGCATTAGTCACAGAGGGTCTATCCTTTCTATATTCAGGTTTTTGGAATCTTCAAGGTAAATCTCTCCTGAAGTGACTAAAATGATTAAAGTCTAAAAACTGCTAATCATAATGTCCTAAGAAATTCCCAAAGTGTAAAGGTGGCAATATACCTACTACATAATGACTCAGATAATTCAGAATAATGCCATCTATGCAGAATTAAACATCCACCAACTGCTCTTGTGTACAATTTTCTCTCAATTGATGAAACGTACTTTTAAAAATAAGCATTAAAGGGTGCTGCTGTAATTTCTTTTGGATGGGCAAAATCTGCTCTGAATTAGGGGTAAAAAGTTGGAAAGATATTATATTAAGAAAAGAAAGGCTGAGGCAGGAGAATCGCTTGAACCTGGAGGCGTAGGTTGCAGTGAGCCAGGATCGTGCCATTGCACTCCAGCCTGAGCGACAAGAGCGAAACTCCGTCTCAAAAAAAAAGGAAAAAAAAAGAAAGAAAAGAAAAGAAGTCTTGGGCCGGGCACGGTAGCTCACACCTGTAATCCCAGCACTTTGGGAGGCCATGGTGGGTGGATCACTTGAGGTGAGGAGTTCGAGACCAGCCTGGGCAACATGGTGAAACCCTGTCTCTACTAAAAATACAAAAATTAGCCGGGCATGGTGGTAGGTGCCTGTAATCCCAGCTACTCAGGAAGCTGAGGGAGAAGAATTGCTTGAACCCGGGAGGCAAGGGTTGGCAGTGAGCCGAGATTGCGCCACTGCACTCCAGCCTGGGTGACAGAGTGAGAAGTCTTCATTATTGTAGCTCATAAAGGAACACAAGACACAGTTTCAATGTAACTATCATTGCTTTTCATATTAAACACAAAAACCTGTTAATAATAGTAAACCATAAAATACTAGGCTAGTATTAGTTCTTTGCAGGAAAATAAATTAGATTTTTAAGGGACTGGTAAGGTCAAAATAATGGCTTTCTTTATCAAAAGTCCTGCTACTTCACCAGTACAACTTTTCTTCTCAACACATATTGGTTTACTTTTTCTTGCTTAAACAATGCATATTTACTGTAAAACATTCAAACCATACTGAGAAGTGTAAGAGAATAAAATACACCTTTCATATCACTTAAAATAACCATCATTAATATTGTGACGAACACTCTTTCACATGTCTCTATGCCTATCTATATAGTCATCCATATTTTACCTAATTGGAATATTATACATGACATTTTTATTATGGACATCTTTCTTTCATTCTCTGTTAAGAAGAAGCAACAGAAAATTAAATAACATTTTTAACAAGGTAAGAAAATAATGTGAGTCATTCAACATGGTCTAAAATGACAAAAATTTCCCTACTAGTCAATTCTTTTCAATTTGCAGAGAAAAATTCTTTTTTTTTTCCTAAAGCCTCTAAATTTCTAATTTCTCTAATTTCTTCTAAGCTTCTAATTTCTCTAAAGCCCCTGCTCCTTTAATTCCTCTGGTGGCTTCCATTTTAAATTTAAATAGGATACTTATTTTTATGTTTTTGATTTATGAATTATAGAAAATAGCAGTTAATTCCATGAAATAAAAACTAAACATTTAGCATACTTACAATACCATTCAACTTTCTCCCTCTTAAACTTATAATTTTAGTATCTTTCATTACCTTTACATTATTGTGATTTTCAACATTTACAATCTGTTATGTAGCAATAATTAAGATTGCCATTCAGATGATTAGAGACTTAAATGTTAGACCTAATACCATAAAAACCCAGAAGAAAACCTAGGTAATACCATTCAGGATGTAGGCATGGGCAAGGACTTCATGTCTAAAACACCAAAAGCAACGGCAACAAAAGCCAAAATTGACAAATGGGATCTAATTCAACTAAAGAGCTTCTGCACAGCAAAAGAAAACACCATCAGAGTGAACAGGCAACCTACAGAATGGGAGAAAATTTTTGCAATCTACTCATCAGACAAAGGGCTAATATCCAGAACCTACAAAGAACTCAAACAAATTTACAAGAAAAAACCAACCCCATCAAAAAGTGGGCAAAGGACATAAATAGACATTTCTCAAAAGAGGACATTCATACAGCCAACAGACACATGAAAAAATGCTCATCATCACTGGCCATCAGAGAAATGCTTGTCTAATATTAAAATTTTAAACCCTCTAAAATGTAGTTACAAAGTTGTGATTATGGCTGCCCCAGAGAAAGACATGCCAATCCCATGTCCCTTAACCCCGTAGCTCAAAGTAGATTTTCCCAAAGCAGCGATTTTTAAAAACTTTCTTTCAGCTTGTAAAACTTCTACGATTTCATATCTGCTATCATATCCTATTTATACCTCATATTGCATACTTTCCTGTTTGAGAATTTATTCAAGTAACTTTTTTTCATATATGGAATACAAAGGGAATAGATTTTCTGAGTTCATGTCTGAAAACAGTTAGGTATATGATTCTTGGTCCAGAATAAATCCATTTCCAAACTAAGAAGACATTACTTCGTTTACATATACTAATTGGGATTGATGCTAAGAAATGATTCTAGTTCCCTTGTAAGATAGCCCATTTACTCTTTCTGGAACTTTTTTTTTTTTTTTTGAGTCAGAGTCTCACACGCACTTGGCCCACTGCAACCTCTACCTCCCAGGTTCAAGTGATTCTCCTGCTTCAGCCTCCCAAGTAGCTGGGAGTACAGGTCTGTGCCACTATGCCTGGCTACTTTTTCTTTTGTACGTTCAATAGAGACAGGGTTTCACCATGTTGGCCAGGCTGGTCTGAAACTCCTGACCTCAAGTGATCCACCTGTCTCGACCTCCCAAGTGTTGAGATTACAGGCGTGAGCCACGGCATCCGGCCCGGAACTCTTTAAGATTTTTTTTTCTTTATTCTAAGTGTTCTGAGATTCCATCAAGATATATTTAGGTGTGGATCCCTTTGCCCACTCATTCTGATCAATTCTAGTGGGCTATATCAATTCCAAGACTCATATGAAATGGTTTTCTATTATTTTCTGTTCTCTAATATCTCTCATTTTTATAATAATTTTGAAGCTCCATTAGAAGGCTGTTGATTATTCTAAGTCAATTAGCCACTTCACTTACTTTGCTTTCCTATTTTTAATCTTTGTCTTTTTTATTATAAGCTGTAAAGATTTGCTCTACTTTTTCTTCCAGAGGACCAGCTTAGTTTGGACCTATCAGTTTATTTAATTCTGTACCAGAGTATCATAATTTTAATTGTTAAGCACTGTTCTTATTCTCTGACTACTCCTGTTCATAGCAGCCTATTCTTATTTTATGGACATATCATTCTCTGTAGTCCCAATGAACTTACAATGACAATTTTTTTTAAAGCTCTCTGCTGTACTCTGCATTATCTGAGCTCAATTCCTTTGTTCATCTTGCTCTTTGACACATAAATTGCTTTCCTCAAATAGCTTGTGATTTTTGGTTTTGGTTAATTTTTTGAAAAGAAATATTTCACTTTTTAAAAAATTATTATAATTCTGTTTCCTCGGTAAAGCTGGGTAGAGCGAAGAGGAATGCAGTATAAGAGAAAAACACCTCAGTTTCTCTTCAGCATGTGTTAATTAACACTCATCAAACTTTTCTTCAAAAGAATCTCGGAATTTTTTTTTCTTTTTTTAATGAACCTGACATTGTCAACATAAAATCTGAGAATCTGTATTCTACCCATGGAAGTGTGAAGGAATAATGAGAAAGGAACAGAATGTCTCCAAAGTAGCAAATTTGATCACTTTCAGATTTTGTTATCTATTATAACCAAAAGTTCCTAATATTTGTATAGAAACCTATCTTACTGGCAATTGTTGATTGATAATTAAAAGAGCATATTTAGCATTAGAATTAGCCTACCTTTTCCTCCTTCAGTATCTTCCCTAAAACTCTACTTAGATTTGTTGTCATTTTCAAAAACTAGTTCTTATTGACCCGTTGGAAATGATTCAAACGCTAGAAGTCTTTTGCTCTCAGAGGGTCAGTTAAGAACAGAAGGAGAAGTCACAAGCACTGGCTCGCTTACCTGCTGGGTGGTGCTGGTGACAATACCCTGCTGCAGGCGGTAAGCCTGCTCTTGAAGGTATTTTCTAGTCTCGTGATTTCGTAGCAGGTAGTTTTCTATCTGGAAATAAAGCACAGGTATCCCTCAAGAATACATTTCAACCCAGCAGAGAATAAAGTACAAGTGAAACAGTCAGTTGCTGAACTTAAAAACCAAAGCGCTAATACACACATCCTGCCAGTGCCTTGACCCCACAAAACACATGGGATGGAGAAACTGGCTTTCATTGTGAGTACTGGTGGTTTTAGTTAGAGATTCAACTTGCAGGTAATTGGAGTAATTTTTGTGTAACTCAGTAGTTGAAAAAGATAAGCAGGTTTTTAATTGCCTGCAGGGTCAGAGACCCCACTTCGTGACTTTTCATCACTTTCAGCACACAACCTCAATCCTTCTCTCACATGAATTTTTAACTACCCAACAGTTCAGAAGTTAAATAAATATCCCCAAGGAATAAGGGTAGTGCTCTCTGAATCTCTTATAGCCTTATTCCAGCTGTAGAATGTATCAGCACTTAGAAAATTCTTTATTTTAACATAAAAAGAGACAGAATCGCTAATACATTTGAAGGATACAGGCTGGTACAACTAAAAGACATATACTAATTTCATTAACCCATCAAATTTTCATATTTTCTCAAAAACAGGACTGAATTATTAAAATCATAGCAAATAAAAAATGGATTTCTATATTTTTATACATAGATTATCTACTATGAAAAATTCAAAGGTACAAATAACTAGATTAAAATAAGCATTCAAGAAGAACAATATGTAATAAATATTTAACAAAAATGCAAGGTTAACTATTAAGAATGATAGGTACTATAAAGACGTTTTTAAAGGAATAATCTGAGGTTGGTAAATTTTGTCATCTATTTTTAAAAATTTGTTCTTTTTGTTTGTTTTTAATAACATCACTTAACCATTTGGCTTTTAATTTGTCACAGCAGTTCCCTGGTTAAGAACTTCTAATAACTGCGAAGCTCTAAGTATTTTTACATTTTAATTTTTATTTTCCATATGCTAAAATGACTACTACTTAATATCAATTAGAAACTATTAAAATACAGACTATAATTATGATCATCCCTTGAAAATATAAAGCAGAACAAAATGTACCTTTCCATTATACATAAACGAAGAAATTATAAAAACGAAAAGATACCTGAAATGAAACATCATTAAAGTGACACATTAATGCCTTGACAGTATATTACATTACTTTCTCTTGCTGCTTCCCAAGAAGTCATCTCTTTCCAAGGTGACATGACTATCAGTGCAAAATATTTTGCCGAAAAGATTCTTGCCTGAAATATATGACAGGCACACACCACCATCCAGCTTCCGGTCCTTTTGCTTTATCAATTCTTATACATTTGGCCTCACTGCAGCACTGGCTGTGGCCGGCTCTGAGAGAAGTTTGCTTTTTCAGAAGGCTCATCTCACACACAGGCAGTGCATCCAAGGCTGGCTCATGCCTTCCAGACATTTCCCCAGATGCACCAGTGGTGCTTTATAGACTTAAGCCAGGAAGGATTTTTTTTTAAAAGTAATACTCTAAAGCTTGCTTCTAAAAACCAGTTCAAAAGGAAGAAACAGTAACAATTTTCAAGTGACTTTAATATCAGGTCTGTATACACCACCACCAAAATTATTTGCATCTTAGATTAACAGGGTAAACTTTGCTTGCATGTACCATTTCAGACTAAGGACAGAAAATCCACCTCCTGAAGGACCAAAGGGGTCATTATCATGTTTACTGGGCTTCCCTGGACAGTTGAGAGCAAGCTGGGAGATAACCTAGAGCTAGTTAGACATCGCTGGTCCCACTGCTGATAACACAGCAAGAAGCAAAAACGAAACAAAAAAATCTGTATTTTAGTAAAGGAATCGTGTGTGTGTGTGTGTGTGTGTGTGTTTAAGATTGAGTATTGAATCACAGTATTTTTTTCTTCAGTAGAGTAATACTAAATAGTCATTTTTTTTCCAGAAGACAAAAATCTACCTGTTAAAATAAAAACAAATATATAAGAACACAGCAAGTTTTACAAGAAAAACCAATAGGCTGGGCGTGGTGGCTCACGCTTGAATCCCAACACTTTGGGAGGCTGAGGCAGGAGGATCACTTGAGCCCAGGAGTTGGAGACCAGCATGGGCAACGTAGCAAGATCTCATCTCTACAAAAAGTTAAAAAACTAGCCAGGCATTATGGCTTACTCCTGTAGTTCTAGCTACTCAGGAGGCTGAAGTGGCAGGATCACTTGAGCTCAGGAATTTGAGGCTACAGTGAGCTATGACTGCGCCACTGTACTCTGGCCTGGGCAACAGAGTGAGACCTTGTCTCAGAAAAAAAAAGAACAGAAGAGGAGAGGAGAGGAAAAGGAAATGAGAGGTGAAGGAGGGGAGAAGAACAGGAGAATGAGAGGGAAGAAGAGGGGAGGGGAGAGAAGAGAAACCAATAAATACAAGCTTTAAAGTCACCTATTTTTTATTAACAAAGCACAAATGTTACAGTTAACATAATCTGCATACTTTGTCCTGAACGTCCATTTTCTGTACCTATTTTCAATTTTCTGGCCTGTCAATTATGTGTTAATATAGTAGGATTCATATCTACCATGTTTGTAACTGTTTTCTATTTATTACATTTGTTCTTTGTTTCTTTAAGCATTTTGTATGGTTATATTTCTCTTCTCTCCTAGTTTATCAATTATAGTCCTTTTAAAAAAGTTTTTAGTGTTTGTCTTAGTGTTTGCAATATGCATTTATAAATAATCCAAGTCTACTTTCAAATAATGCTATATTGATTCATGAGTAGTGTAGGTACCTTAGAACATAAGATTGTCAGTTCCTTTTCCATCCTTTATACCACATTCACCCAGTACACTGTGGTTATTACTACTCTGAAAAAACAGTCATCTATTATATCAATTCATAATAAGAAAAATATAATATTACCTTATTTTATTCCCTCTGATGCTCTTCCTTTCTTTATGCAGATCCAATTTCTAATCTAAACCATTTTCCTTCTCCATGAAGAACTTTTAACATTTCTTGCAAGACAGATCTACTAGTGCTATATTCCCTCAGTTTTTGTTTATCCTAGAAAGTCTTTATTTCTCCATTACTTTTGAAGGATAATTTTCCTAGATACAGAATTCTAGGCTGCTGGGGGTTTTTAGCATCAACACTTTAAATATTTCACTCCACTTGCTTCTTACTTACATGGTTTCTGACAAAAAGAGTAATTCTTATCCTGGTTTCTCAATACACAGGTGTTTTTTTAGTCTACATTCTCTAAAGATTGTCTCTTTGTCGTTGGTTATCCACATTTTGAATTTGCTATACCTATGTGTGCTTTTTTGGTATTTATCCTGTTTGGTGGTCTCTGAGCTTTCTGGATTTGTGGTTTAGTGTCTGTTGTGAATTTCAGAAAATTATCAGCCATTATTACTTCAGATATTTCTTCTGTTCCTTTCTCTCTTTACTTTCCTTCTGGTATTCCCATTAGCTGCAAGTTTCATCTTCTATAATTATCCCACAGTGCTGGGATAGTCTGTTCTTTTCTTTTCTTTTTGCAATTCAGTTTGGGAAGTTTCTACTGAAGAATCTTAGAGCTCAATGATTCTTCCCTCAGCCATGTCCAGTCTACCAATAACCACCTCATCAAAGGCATTCTTCATTTTTGTTACAGGTTTTTTATCACTAGTATTTCCTTTTAATTTTTTTTTTCTTAAGAGCTTTTATCTCCTGCTTACATTACCCATCTGTTTTTGTATGCTGTCTGCTTTTTCCACTAAAGCCCTTAACAAGTTAATCATGGTTATTTAAAGGATCTGATAATTCCAAAACTAGTATCATACATAAGTCTCGTTCTGATGCTTGTTTTGTCTCTTTCACACTGTGCTTGTTGCTTTTTAACATGCTTTGTAATTTTTGGCTGAAAGCTGAAAATGATATATCTGATAATACAAACTGACGTAATCAGCCTTTTAGTGTGAGGTTTTATATATTAACTGGCTAAGAGCTGGGCTCTGTTTAGTATTTGTTGTAGCTGTATGTGCCAGAGGCTTTGATTTCCTCTAGTGTTTTTGCTTTTGTATACCGTTATTTTGGGGTTTCCCTAGAAATTCTTTCTTAATTACAATCTATGTCTTGCAGTTTGCTCAGTTGTAATCCACTGTTACTTTATTTGATGTGGTGATAAGGTGTTAGGAAGGGGAAGTATTCTATAATCTTATGATTAGTTTTTATTTGTTTGTTTGTTTGTTTTTAAGCAATCCTGGTCCCTGGGCTATGGCTTTCAGAAATATTTCTTATTCTTTTTAACCCTATCCCTTATGTGAGACAGAAAGGCTAGAGAGGGAGGGTTGTTTAATCATCTTTCCCCTGTTCAGGTAAGATCCTACTAAAGTGGTTTCTTTGGCTGGTAGACCTTTGTTATTTAGAACAAAATGCTCTGAGTATATTTCAAAATAGTTATTTTCCTCTTCCCCCTGTCAGAAAAAAAAAGGAAATTTCTCTCCAATCTTGACTGCGATAGCCTGATGGGACTCATGGAATTAAAATCCATGAAAGGGTGGGGGTTCCCTAAAATTGGACCCCTAGGAGTTTTTAGCTCTCAAGCTAGTCTATGCTAAGACTCTGGCAATTCATCACTTACTGTTTACATGCTCCTATAAGTTATTATTCTACTAGCTTCTGCTCCTGGCTATCTTGGCTAGGATTCACTGTGATTCTCCGCCCCTCTCTTTCCAGTCCCCAGTTTTCAGGGTGAATAGTTTTCCTTGTGGCTTAAGTTCTTTGACAGATCTAAGGAAAGTCATTGATTTTCTGTTTGTTCAGGCTTTTTTGCTGTTGTGAGGATGGGAGTGATAACTTCCAAGTTCTTGAGAGTTCAAATCTGAAACCAGAAATCTGGTTTCTCTAGAATATGTCATTTTTTCAAAGCTGATTAGTATCCTATTGGAAATTATAAAGATATCTAATATTTTTATGTAGCTTTTCACCAACTCCTTTTCACATATACTGTGTCACTGGATCCTCATGGTCACCTTAGGC